GGAATATATGTCAGAGAAGTGGTCAATGTACACCTACATACCAATTTGTAGAAAAATCGGTTAAAAAATGTGGGAGTTATTCAAAATTTTATTACGTCACGACACACACAATTTTTGATTTTTTTTGAATTTTTAGACCTCTTACGGAAACAAAAATAGCACCCTTCGATTCGCCGTGAAAACTACATCAGATAGACACCTTTTTAGGCCTTAACAATCAACTTCAAAATTTGACCTCACTTATCCTGACCTTGACCTGACCTCAACCTGAAATTCATCCAGATGTGGTCCATATCACTTATTGAGTGTGCCTATTGAATTCTATGAATAAAATGACCCATAAAACATGTGTCGCACATGCCCTTTTCTATATTTTGTTTTTGGTGACCTGACCTGACCTGACCTGACCTTGTCCTTGACCTTTGAATGATATTGTATGCAACGAATATTGTCTTGGTAGCCTAAGAACACGTTTTGGGCAATCAGTCTCAGTCCATTCTTCGGCAACTACGGTGCAAGGCCGATACTGTAGAAACTTGCATTTTGTACCCTTGACCTGACCTTGACCTGACCTCTGACCTACTTAAGCCAAAAAATGGGCTCTATAGATCCGCCTTGTTGAGAGCTTTCGATTGCCGTTTTTCCCGTCTTTCTACGACCATCGGTTCGGAAGTTAGGCAGGGGGGCAGAATCTGCCCCCCCCCCCCCCAGCAGGGCGCGTATGGCTAAATAGCCCAGCGGGGCGATTGTCTAATGTGGCACCGGTGCCGCTCATCATAGCAGTCATATTCGGGTGAAGTTGCTTGTCGGTGTAGGCCATAGGCGGCGGAACGGCGGGGAGGGCACCGGGGCACCGTGCCACCCTTGATTTGGGCACGTTAACATTAGCCCTATGGGCGTTGCATGGAAAGATGGGACCAAAAGTCGGCAGTGCCCCCTTAATTGAAGGTGTTCCGCCGCTACTGTTGTAGGCATAGAAATTATTGGCTTTACGGAGTTTCCTATTGTGTGTTTGAATTTGAAAAAGGCATTTAGAAGCCGACCGACCGAAAGCCCCGACAAAACGGGAGGGGATAACCCTCCACAGTCCACTCGGTGGACTGGGAGAAGAAGTCCCTCCGCCCCTTCCCTGCGGCGCCGCCCTTGCCCACCGGTCTCTGACCAGTCCGAATTTCATAAAATGATGAAGTACCTGAGGTCTTACTTATGTACGGTCGAGCTGGGTAGCATCACCATTCTTTTAACCCGCGCCGGGCCGGGGGGGGGGGAGAGGGTGTTTGAACACCCCTTGCGATTTTTTAGCACACCTGCTCGTGCATCTTTTCCGCACATGTTGTGAAAATTTCAGACCCAGGTCGCCTTATGTCAGGTCACCAGGTCACGCCAACTGACCTCACCTCAGAAAAAAAGAATGCTCGTCATAGCTACACCGATTGATCGATCGCCTTGAAGCTTTCAGCGATTGATTAGAGCAACATAATCTATAAAATCTTTATTTCGGAATTTTGATATCGGTGACCTAAGGTCAGGTCAATTTTGCGGCCTCTCCATTATGCCTAAGTCAATGGGAGAAAATTGAAAAGCGTCTGTTTTGCACGAACGCTATTCTAGACACTCTCAAACATCGAGATGTACATAAAATTGACACACTGAACCGGAAAATGGCAACTGTGACCCTTCGTTATGTCCTCGAGGTCATCTCAGGTCACGAACAGAATCTAACAGTTTTTCGCTAATAACTTCTGATAGAGGCGTGCTAGAGCGCTGAAAACGCCCTAGATGTGTTCGGCTCGACGTTGCGGATCGACTGATATACAACATGACCTTTTCCGGTCAGGTCATGACCTTGACCTGAGGTCAAATTTTCAAGCTGACCTTTCAAGGTCAAAATTTAGTTCATTCGACGTGTCTCGACGAGAGGAGCACGATGCTGGTAAAAGTAATGTCATTTGACTCTTTTGAGTCAAAAGTTATTGCCGAGAAAACACTTTTCGTAAAAACGGCTATTTTGGGGGTTTTTGCAGTCGATAGCTCTCGATGCGTGCGTTTGAAAGTATATCAGTCATTTTTCATCTTAGAGCAATATTGGGGTCACCAGAGGTCATCAAAGGTCAAAATTTGCGAATTGTCATTATATTTTTCGGAAACCATGCCATTATCTCAGGAACTATGATAGCCAGAAAAACGGTTGGAAAAGCAATCGATATCTTTTTAACTCTTCTTTTGATAAGGTCATCATCAAAAATGACCACAAGTCAACGGTTTTGCCTCCAGAGGGCAAAAACTAAAAAATAACTGTTTTTACGAAAGGTGTTTTTCGACAAAAACTTTTGACTAAAAAAGCCACGACATTTCTATTGCCAGAAACGTGTTCCTCTCGCCGAGACGCGTCGAATGAACTATAATTTGACCTTGAAAGGTCAACTTGAAAATTTTACCTCAGGTCAAGGTCATGACCTGACCGGAAAAGGTCATGTTGCCTATCAGTCGATGCGTCTCGGCATGACAAACACAATGAGGCCATCCCCAGCGTTCTATCTCTTTCCAGTCGAGAGTTATTGGCAAAATCTGTTTGTAGCCTCAAATGACCTCGGAATTCGGATGACCTTTCTAGAGGCTATCAGCAAAAAAGACACCTTGGTCGTCACGGGTGGTCCAAATCATTGTGATTCTGAAATATTTGGACTGTTCCCATCGAGCACGTCAGTGCCACTAGCCCTACCGGCAAACTATCACTCATCTAATTCAATCTCATTCAACTCATTCACTTCTCACTAGCCGTTTTCACGACGGGCTATCCGGCGAATGAACCTGATTTGACCAAATCTGCACCTAATCTCTTTAACAGCAAATTGAATTCATTTCAGTGTTTTAATGGTTGATACTCACTGATAATATGACAAAGCAGGCATATAAGCAATTAGCGCAACCCTAGCTGATAGCTATTAACCCGCGCACCGACGGGGGTCTGCGCCAACTTCGCACCGACGGGGGGGCGGATGACCGCCCCCCCTGAGATCTCGAGAACGAAGCAAGATAGCGACAAGCGGTAAACGGCATCGGATACGCACGGTCAAGATCTACAATTTTTACAAAGGTCATTTTCAGGTCAGGTCAAAGATGACGTCACAGGGGTCGAAAAATTCAAAATGGCGGCGCTAGATATGGAGAGAGTTTTTCTCGAATAACTTTCGAATTAGTCAAGATAGGAGCAAACTAAGGGCATCATCGTGATCCTCTCGTTAATCCGCATCGAATGATATATATGTTGACCTCGAAAGGTCAAGGTTAAAGGTTGACCTCAGGTCACGTGACCTCGAGGTCATCATGTATATCACTCGATGCGTCTTGACGAGCTGAACACAATGAGACCATTCACGCGGCTGTATCTTGTTCCTGTACGGAGTTATTGGCCAAAAACCTTTGGTGAACTTTGATGACGTCACATGACCTCACAGCTGCCCAACAGCAAAACAGACCTCAAGGTAGTGAAGGTTGATCGTATATGAAGTCATGTATGGTATATGGGGCCATTCCGACCCGTTTTAGTGGTAAAAATAGGGAGTTGATTTTTCCCCAATTGACTTATAACGGGGAGGTCGCGAAATTGACCTGACCTTAGGTCACCGATATCAAAATTCCGAGATACACAAATTGTAGCTACTAATGACCTTATAACATCCTGCGACTTTCAAAGGCCTCCGACATCTACTGTAGCTCTGGCACGGTGACAAAGTTGCAAAAAAGTGACTTGAGGTTGGGTCATTCAAAGTGACCTGGTGACCTGATCTTAAAAGGTAGGAGGTTCAAACTTGCACACCATGTGTAAAACTGATAAGGGAATAGTCGTACCAAATTTCGCGGCGCTACGCGCCGCGGTTTTCCAGCTATTCGCGAAAAACCTCAGGGGGGGGGCGGATATCCGCCCCCCCCCGTCGGTGCGCGGGTTAACCTTCGCCCCAGTGCACAGTGGGGATTTTTCCGATCTAGCACGTATTTATTCGTAGAGGGCAAACCATAGGTAGAATTGTAGCCAGATTGTGCACAGATGTTGGCTGGTGTGTCCTGGTGAGAATTTTACCTGTAAATGTGCATAATCAACATAGTATAGGGGGTTCAATTGGACCCCCCGCTCAGCCGTTTGGCCCCTGATCAAGCTAGAGCTTCGCGGAAAAGTCAAGCGTGCTGCCTATGACGAAATTTGGCCGAATATATCCAATTTCAAAGTCCAAGGTCATAAGCTGACTTTCCAAGTCAGTTTAATGACCCAACTAAAGTTGGGAAATCGAGACCTCTTGAAACTTCGCAAAGTTAGGGTGTTACGGTGTATTTTGGGGTGCTGATCACGAATTTCATGTTAGTTTTGATCACAGACGATGTCTTTATGCATTTAGGACAGGTCGGGTCAGGTCAGGTTAGATCAATTAGTAGGCGTCCTGCCGGCCATCCATAGAAGTGTCACCTACTACTGATAGCTTCGTAACATGGAACGAAGGCACTAGAACTACTTCGTAAATATTCAAATGGCTGCTAAAATCGAAATCAGCACCAAAAACTACCCTAGAAACAAGTAAAACTCGAAAAAGTGAACCAAGGTCATCAAAAGGTCAATGACCTTGACTTGACCTTCACGTGACCTTGACACCCACCATTATGCATGGCACCAACATCATTTCACATATTTGAACGTTTAAAACCACAAAAAGACTGGAAACCGCGGATAATGTGAGCTGGCATACGCCGAATCGCGATTCCGGCCAAACATGGTCTCGAGAAATATGCCACAGGTCAAAGGTCAGTTGGGTCAGAGTCATGAAATTTTTAGGTTAGATGTAAAATTGTTGATATCGAGGGTACCGAAAGTTTCGGCGCGATCGGCCGCTTTTTGCGCGAGTAATTTGCGGAAAACCATGGGGTTTTATCCGACCCCTTCCCCCTCCCCCTCCCCACAAGTGCGATGGTTAATAAGGTTACTGTTACGGCGCCTGTGTGGGACGCTCGGCGCCGGGGCGAACTGGCGGGGAGTGATGTGCGCGCGCGCCGGGTGCCGGTGCTCGAGCTGCGGCTGGCGCTCGGTGCCGGGAGGACTGGTGCTGTGAAGCGGGTAGCGGAGCAGTGTTTCCCGCTGAGCGGACTCAGACACATCTGCTCGCTCGGGGGCCGACGTCCTGCGGAGCTCCGCCGCGCTGCTCGCTGCGTTTCTTCTCCTGGTGGCGGCGCTCTCACCACCACGGACATAGTGCGTCAGTGACCGCAGCGCCTCTGGTGGCGAGCACCTGAACCCGAGTGTCAGTCACCGGACTGCAGGTGACGCTGTTGGGACGCAGTGGGTGTGGTCGGGTTCTCGAATGGTCAGATCAGCTGTTCGGAGCCGCCATTCGTTTTGAGGAGGCGCCATTCGTTTGAGGAGGCGCCGATTTTGTGTTGATGCATATTCTGCCTGTCGCTGCCAAACAGTCGGTAAGAATTCTATCAAACGCGATGAATTTGCTTTTATTTGTATTTCCAACGTACCTATCGTCTGATTTTGTGGTGAATTTCACTGAATAAGGAGCGGCGAATGATTTATTTCTCAGTCTCAGCCGGTGCCTTTATTTACTCTTGGTTTTGTGTTTCTTTCAGAAACCATGCTATTTCGTTGGGTGGAATAAACCCTTTGGTCGAGCATGCGTGTGACTCAAGGCAGAAACAGTTACGGTATGTATAATTTACGCTTGTCATCCTATTCCTAATGAATGTGTCTCAGAAAATATGCATCATATAAATCACGAGGTAAAATTATTCGCCTATGTCCGGAACATACCTATATCGTGCTGTTTGCCCTAGCGCTCCTCGAGTGGGGTGTTAAGATACTATAATGTGAATATTCCGTGTTCAGGCAAGTTTCGGCAGCCAAACTAGGCGTTGTCTTGTGCAGAAGAAAGTGGCGTATTCGATAGGATATATTTCGGAGTGGAAAAGTGTGGAGAACATTGTTGATTTCCTACATTTATTTAGAATACCATTCCTTCAATATGGTGTCTGTAAGGGTTTTTTTGTAAAGGGCATTTTTGTGACCTTAGTAAGGTTGTGGCATACTTTCTGTTTGCCATTCCATTCCTAATAAAGGTGCCTTTCAGACGATATGCAACCTTAAGACCTCGCAAGATTAAAACCAACAGGACAGGACAATGAAATTGAGCTATACTTTCGGGCCTTGCTGAGCCCATTGAGTAATCACGCATGAGTGTGAACTTTGGGCGCATTTTTCCTAGTTTTGCTGTGGACATACAGATAAAACAATGGCCTATATGACAAATTCAGACATTTCTTAGCCCTACTGACACAAAAATAAACAAAAATCCAAAAAAATATTTTTTGAATTAATAAGCGCTAGATCGGAAAAATCCCCACTGTGCAGTGGGGGGGGGGCATATGTTACCACCCTGTTGCGTTTTTTGCGTGTGAATAAAAAACCGCGGCGCGTAGCGCCGCGCCGCTTGGAGTAGCTTTATGTACATCAATTTTGGACAATGTGTGAAATTTTTGACCCCAGGTCATGTCAGGTCAGGTCACCAGGTCAAGTTAACTGACCAAGCCTAAAACAGTTTGCAATAATGTCCAGCCTGCAGTGTTTGTCAGAAAGGTTTCAAACTTGGTGGATTGCATGATGTTATGAGCGCCAATAATTTGTGTATCTCGTTTTTTTTTTATATCCGTGACCTAATTTCAGGCCAGTGGCGTGACTTTTCCATTATAAGTCAATGGAGAAAAACCAAAATGCCTCTAGATCCATGTGTACGCATAGGAACAGTCCAAATATTTCAGAATCACAATGATTTGGACCACCCGTGACGACCAATGTGTCTCTTTTTTTTTGCTGATAGCCTCTAGAAAGGCCATCCGAGATCATTTGAGGCTACAAATAGATTTTTGCCAATATCTCTCGATCGGAAAGAGATAGTTCGCTGGGGACGGCCTCATTGTGCTTGTCATGCCGAGACGTATCGATTGATATGCACCATGTCCATGACCTTTTCCGGAGGTCAAATTTTCAAGTTGACCTTTCAAGGTCAAATTATAGTTCATTCGACGCGTCTCGGCGAGAGGAACACGATTCTGGCAATAGAAATGTCGTGGCTTTTTTTAATCAAAAGTTATTGTCCAAAAACACTTTTTTGTAAACACAGTTATTTTTGGAGTTTTTGCCCTCTGGAGGCTAAACCATTGACCTGAGGTCATTTTTGATGATGAACTTATCAAAAGAAGAGTTCAATCATCAATTGTTTTTCCATGCGTTCCTGAGATCATGGCATGTTTTCTGAAAAATATAATTACAATTCGCAAACTTTGACCTTTCATGACCTCTGGTGACCCCATTATTGCTCTAATATGAAAAATGACTGAATGACTTTCAAACGTGCGCATCGAGAGCTATCGACTGCTTTTTACCGCGCCTTGATCTAGCCCTCTTAGTTTTTGAGCTAGAGGTGGGTGGTAACATATGCCCCCCCCCCCCCCCACTAGGGCGAAGTTGGCTGAGACTGCCACTGTGGCGCGGGTTAACCCTATTAGTGGCAGGGGGTTGTTTTCATCCACCCCTCAGGTTTTTCGGGAATATCTCCGAAACCGCTGAAGCTACGATGCTGAAAATTTCTGACTTTTCCTAAAACTAAATTGGGCACATTCCCTGAAAATTTCAAGTTCATATCTTTACCAGGGGCGGCTCCAGAGCACTGGGAATTGGGGGGTCCTATTCGTGAAACGAGTCATTTGGGCGAAGATCACGATGCTGATGTATTATAACTGTATGCACCAGTTTTACGAACAGTGAATGAAAGGCATCATGTGATAACATATACAAAGTTATTGTGCGTCCTCTTTTGACACGTTTTTGCTATAATAGGCGGATCCAGGCGTCCAAAAAGGGGGGGGGGGGTTCATACTGAAATGTACAGTACCATTTGATGAGCGGTTTCGTAGTAGTTACATTGCCAGAAAGCGATCAAATGCACCATGCCATGTATTTGTGAACACTTACAAGCGATGTTTTCCCCTAAAACCATAGGCGCGTCCAGGTGCTGAATATTGGGGAATAATTAGTAATTACATCTGTATCCGCCTATGATTTTTGAAAATGCGTATTTTTAGGATCCATGTCAATTCCTGGTTCATTCTCTATCGATCGGCAAAAGTTGCGTTAACATTGGTTCAGAAACCTGGCCGTGATAAACAGTCTAAAATGTATCTGCAATTTGCCCGTTTTTACCCCCTCTACCCCCCTATTGACATTTCTTAATTCTTATTTTTTAGGAATGTAGATCACGTTGAGCGAAATCGAATGCCGTTTGAATTTGGAAAATCGGCCCGTTAGATCTCGAGATATCAGGGGGGGGGGGGGGGTCGTAAACAGCCCCCCCCCTGCCACTAATAGGGGTAGCCAGGAGCCTGCCACTAATAGGGTTAAAAGGGCTATCAAATGCGCTTTTTCGCGGTGCTCTAGCTTTATTGTTTCCGAGTTGTGCGTCGATTTGTTGAAAACTGTCGACATCTGACCTACAAATCGGCGAATTTTGGGCTTCAATGACCTCTGGTGACCTGACCTTTGACCTGACCAAAACAGTGACTAAAGTGATTTCTTTCTTATTTTCCGTCCTTATTTTTAACGCTCTTTCGAACGCCGCCCGTCCCGTATGGCTATGTGGCCCAGGACCCGAGTTAGAAGGGGTTGTTCAACACCCCCCCCCCCAGCAGGGCGTGGAAATCCATGACCCCCAGCGGGGTGCGGGTTAAGCTCGATATGAGTTCACAATTAGTCATAGCCGATTTCCTTGTTTATGTTAGTTGACTGATTGGTTTGAGGTTTTTTTAACGAAAGAATCCGATAGCCCAAAAGACCACTGTGACGTTCGGCTCACCGACACTGACAGTCTGTGTGTTGGTCTGGGTTGTGGCCCCCGGAGGTGTAGTGGCCTGAGAGGAAAGTACTAAGGTCGACTACCGAGTTCCAATTACCCATAATCGCCTTTTCCCCCTGGAGGTAACTCTGCCCACCTGAGCAGCCGTCGGACGGGATCTATGTACATATGTATGGCGCCGTGCGGACAGGTCTCCGAGAGCCCCCTATACCATGCGCCCACCCCCGCCGGTCACCTAAACAGCGACGTACCCACCCGAGCAGTCTAGCCTCCTCTCTCCTTGCAAACAGCTGCTCTTAGGCACCCGCTGCAGTCGCCTCTAACCTGCAGCTGGTAGCCAAAAACAGCCCAGATATGCGATAGAGTGTTAACGACGGCCCCTCGTCTGAGCGAGAAGCTCATGGGCCAGCACCGACACGGCTAGAGCTGAGGCTAGTTTCAGGCTTCAGCGCCCTCTAACACGTAAGTGCGCGGTGTTGTGAAGGGATTCGTGGAAAACATCTGATGAAATTCGGTAAGTGACGTGTATTGCTGACCCATTGAAAACATTCAGAAGTGCAGTAAAATATCAAACAAATAGGTGGGCTTCGTGATGTGAATGAGACCACGACAAGACACATAACTGTAGGTGATTACTTTTCATGTTATATACATATAACATGAAAAGTAATCACCTAACCTAACCTAACCTAACCTAACCTAAACTAAACTAACCTAACCTAACCTAACCACATGTTGAAAAGTGAAACAACGATAATATGATGATAAAATCCACAACAAACACGGGCATAAGACCATATAATGCTCCAAATTAAAGCCTAATCACACTGTAACTAGTAGAGAAAATCCAGGCACGACAGAAACACTTCAGCTCTCAGGTGCAACGGTCGATAGCAACGCTCAGCTAGACAGACGCACTAAACATCTATACAGGAACGTCATGTCACCTAGCATTCGTCCCATTGGCTGCTCGTCACATCTCTCTTCCCAGTAATGACATAATATCTCGGGGAAATCCCTCCAGACATACACATGAATGCACCACGCAGTCATACCCTGCGACTGTGACTAATCCACATTCACATGATCGCCCGCAACAGAGATGTGTGTCGACTGTGCCGCCTTTAGTCAGTTAACCGACACGTTAACTGAGCCCTTCCATCGGCGCGGGGTTTGACATCTGCAGATGTCACCGGACGTGATCGTTCGCCGGCCCGAATAGTTCGACCGATGAGTAGCGGACGGCGGTTCTGCTGGTTATATTGACAATGGTGCGGAGCCTGCAGAGAAGAGCAGTCCATCTGCAGCCATGAGAGCTGCGCTTCTCCCAGCTCCAACCCCGGCTCGATGGTTGACCGATCGGGTCAGCTGGTGTGGTGACAGCCTGTAACACGACCATACGGCACAGCATTAGGAGCACTGTTAGATACTTATTGTCTTAGCGCGAGTGTGACGAAATAGTCCGGAAATTTCCTGGTCGGTTCGAGGTAACAAGCTGACTTCAGTTGTATTTGCAAGTTTGTACCGGAGAGACGTTATGAGAACGCTTGGTCCAGTCACTCGCACTTCCATGAGGTCACTGGTAAGTCGTAGGGAACACAATTTTATTGAGATAGGCACGACTTAGTGCTCAAGATAGGCAAGCTTGGTATCGGGTTAATGTGGATAGTTACTTTTTCCAGCTCGATTGGGCATGGACATAAGGGGTCGTGTGAATTGAAAACTTATTAAAGGGACTATCCCACCTTTAACATGGGGTTTGAGTTGAGATAGCCAAGTTTGCGGCGAGGTTCAGAAACC